GTCCTTATTTCATCCTCTTTCCCCTCCACTGCAGGGGAAGCATTAAGATCTTGACTTTTAGGGGGCCCACCTTATGGAGAGGTCAAAGGACTTGTCCACTACTTCTGCAACTAGGAACTGGATGAATTTGTGATTGTCACCTTCAGCCAGCCCCCACAGCACTGAGATCACTTGCCCTGGGTAAAGCTAGGAGCCTCCAGCCAGTGCTGGTAGCACACCAAAATGAGAGCAGCATCCCATGGGAGCAGCAAGCTCCCATGACATCAGCTTTGTGTGACACCGCTGCGATCACTGCAGGGGCAAACTGCGTCTGAAGAAAGGGGGTGGTGACAAGGCAGCCCTTCCAAAGGGGCAGCTGCCTTTGTCCCTGCAGTTCAGAAAAAAATTTCTTCCAAGTAAAGAGAGGAATAACGGTCTGTTGAGCCTGGTACTGGATCCCTCAGTCCTAAGCAGCTCAGCACCCTAGAGTGCTCAGCACCCAGCACCCAAAGTGTCAGTCAGCTGCGATACAAGCCAGTCCTCCTGCACACTCATGGTGTACACTGACAGAGCACAGAAGGATCACAATCTCCAGCTACATGCTGCAAAGATCAGGGTAGAAAAAGAAAGAAGCAAAAACAACCTTAGGAATGGGATTTATTTATGGTTGGCACTTGGACTGCCAGTAACCTCTGGGATGAGTGTAAATGGTAGGGACTGGCAGTGAGTGACTGCATCTTTGCAAGCACAGAGACACCTAGGAGATTTATTTTAATTTCTTCAATGTTAGGCAGCAAAGGGATGGGAAGGTTTCAGTCTGTGGACAGAGGCTAGAAAAATTATTTCAGAGCATTGTAATGAAAGAAGCAAGTTTTAAAAGGGAGTCTTCACTCATGATCTGATCCTAGTTAACCCTGATAAGACGAATGAGAGGAGCATCTTTGAATTAGTCCCTGTAGATAGCAATAGGTTAGAGAGGTAGAAGAGAGGTGAGCAAAGAGCTGTGATCTCACCGGAATGGATATTTTAGTTACTATTGGCAGCCTGCTGATTCAATGCTTCCATGATTTTCTTAAATCAAAAGATCTTTCCTCCTTCCATCCCCCCTTATTCTGTTTTAGACTGCATTTATGTGCAGATTTGAACCCTGAAAGTGGAGAAGTACTGACCCCTGAGGTCCTCAGTGGAGATAACAAGACTTGGGTGCGAGTGGAAATTGTGGGCTCCCACCTCTTTTGTTTTAAAGTCTTTTAGTAACTTAGTTTTTTTTCTAAGTGCTTCCTCTGGCTAATAACAGAGGATGGTTTTCATGAGCGCTTTTGTATAGCCTGCATAGAATAGTGGGGCATCAGCAAAAGACCCTCCTCTGCCCACAGGTTTCAAGTTATATTATGAAATAATAACAATGAAATTTTCAACCCTTTGAAACCTGGGCTCTTTCTATTGAGATACATGTCATATATGAGGGGCAGATGAAGCAGGTGCAGTGATAAGAAAGCATTCAAAACTCTTGATTTTTGAACCTACATATAGGCTGTGAGAAAGGGGCAATAGAAACTCTTCATCAAATAACAATTCAAAACTTGCACCCTCTTACTTGACATAAAGGCCTAGACTTTATGTACCCACTGTTTTACTTCATACTTTTAAAGTTTTTTTTAAATTGTCTTTGGAGTGTGAATGCAAAGAAAATAGATTGGCTATCTGTCTGGAGAGACAAATAACCTTGACACATTATCTCAGGAGAGCTTGTACATTCTAAGGGTCTGAAAGTTTAGGCTCAGGAAAAGATTTGTTTTATAGACTCATTTCTTGAAGGATGAATTTTGAATTAGAGAACCAACCAAGGCTTTTTTCAGTTAAGATTAACCATTCTAATATCTCATCCTATAATTTAGCTTTCCCAGCTGCTATCTGGTGCACTGAGTAACCATTAGCATTTCTGTTTGGATCCTTGTGTTATGATGATGTATTCCAGAAATGTTTAGATTGAATATTAGGATTTTCTTCATGGAAAATGCTCTCAAGCTTTGGAAAAAGCTTCCAAGGAAGGTGGTTGTGTCTCCATTTCAGGAGGTATTTAAAAAATGTGAAGATGTGGCACTTTGACACATGGTCTAGTGAGACTTGGCAATGCTGTGTTAACAGCTGGACTTGAGGATCTTAAGGGTCTTTTCCAACTCAGATGGTTCTGTGATTCTATGCTCAGCATGCAACCTGCCTCCAATGCAGAGTGATGTGGAACTGGTGGCTCCTTTGACCAGCATTACATGCAATTTGAAGAACCGCAAAGAAAATATTGACATAGACTTGATCTACAACATGTATTAGTAAGCAACACTTCCCAAAGCCTGACAGTGATAAATCTGGCTTTTTTCTATCCTTTTTTCTTTTTGTGGACATAGGTGGTTTCAGTTTGTTGTTTGAACTGCATATGGAAAAGCCTACCTTGAATAATTTGGTAACAATTTTATTTCAAAGTCAAAACAATGATCATGAAACTCCTAAGTTGCATGTGTGCATTTAAAAACAGTATAAGTATGAAGAAAAGTGAGAATTTAAATTTCCATTCAATGTTTCTTTTTTACTTGCTTTTAGAACTTTATCAATTTCAGTTTCCATAATAAATACCTTTCTAGACACTCATTGAGAAATCTGAATGCCTATGGACCACTAAAGCTCGTAAATCAAGTTTTAGGACTCAGAGCAGAAACAACTGTGTGCTCTTCAGCTTATATTTTGTCTTAACAGTGATCCTTTAGCTCTTCTCTTGGTGAGTGTTTTCTCTCACAACTTTTGGCCACCACAATAAAAACAAGATATTAGAAAGCATCCAAAGGAGGTCTACAAAATTTACGAAGGATCTAGAAGGGAACATATCCATGGAATACCTGAGGTCATTTGGTTTGTTCTGTCTGGAGGAGCCCTCTTAGCAGTCTACAGCTTCCTCCTGAGGGGAAGAGGGGGGCCAGACACATCTCTTCTCTGTGGTGCCCAGTGACAGGACCAGAGGGAATGGCCTGAAGTTGTGTCAGGGGAGGTTTAGGCTGAATATTAGAGAAGGGTTCTTCACCCAGAGTGTGGTTGGGCACTGAGACAGGCTCCCCAGGAAGTGGTCACAGCACAAAGCCTATCAGAGTTGAAGAAGAATTTGGACAACACTCCTGAGCCCATGGTGTGATTCTTGGGAATGATCCTGTGCAGGGCCAGGAGTTGGAATTTGATGATTCTTGTAAGTCCCTTCCAACTCAGAATATCCTGTTCAATGATTCAATGGTTCAATGATTCAATGATTCTAGGATTCTGTGATTCAGAGGCAGCAATATTTCTTTTTCTGCATATCTGCAACAGCGACAGAGGTGTGGGATAGTTAATAGCACATGATAAGGCTATTCCAAACCCCTGGTAATCTGATCATGTTTCATTGCCTGTTCCTTTGTGAGGTTAGGGCATACAGCAAGGACACTTACTCATGGATCAGTCTTTAACAGAGGACTAGAACTCTGAATTGCTCTCTACAGTTTCCTGCAAGGATGCTCTATGTGCATCTATATTACAGAATATGACTCTGATGCACAAGGTCAAAAGGGAAAAAGAAGCTTATGCCAGCAGATTTTATAAATATACCTTATAAATGAAATTTTAGTGTAAACAGAATAAGAGAGTGATTTAATTCCCAAAGATCCAGCCCAGAGATGTCCTTAATGTGGTAAAGAGATTTGAGCATGGTTATGTCATGCTCAAAACTAGAAAAATTAAACAAGCTGTGGGTAAAGTATTGACTGGAAGAAGGAAGTCAGGATAGAAACTCTTAGCATTTCTCCAATCATAATGACAGCGCTTTCCACTAGCTACTTGGGCAAAACAGACTGAACTTGGGCAAACTAATTTAATTTATTCCCAAACAAAAGTCAGAGTAGGCTGATGAGAAGTAAAACCAAATAATAAAATACCTTCCCTCACTTCTCCCTCTTCCTGGGATCAATTTCACTTCCGATTTTATCTGCCTCCTCCCATCCAGAAGTGCAGGGGGATGAGAGTGGGGTTTGTGGCCAGCTCATCACACATTGTCTCTGCTGCTCCCTCCTCCTCAGGGGGAGGACTCCTCACACTCTTCTCCAGCTCCAGTGTGGGGTCCCTCCAACAGGAGACAGTCTCCACAAACTTTCCAAATGTAAGTCCTTCCCTGGGTTTCAGCTCTTCTGCTCCAGCATGGTCCCTCCCTCAGGGTGCAGTCCTTCAGGAGCACACTGCTCCAGAGTGGGTTCTCCATGGGGTCACCACTCCTGCCAGCAAACCTGCTCACTGTGGGCTCCTCCCTCCCTGGGGCCACAGCTCCTGCCAGGCCCCTGCTCCAGCACAGGTTTCCCACAGGGTCACAGCCCCCTTCAGGCCTCCACCTGCCCCAGTGTGGGCCCTCCCCAGGCTGCAGGTGGATCTCTGTTCCTCCATGGACTGCAGGATCCCATCCTGCCTCACCCTGGGCCACACCACGGCTGCAGGGGAATCTCTGCTCCAGTGCCTGGAGCGCTTCCTCCCACCCTTTCTGCCCTGGCCTTGGTGTCTGCAGAGCTGCTCCTTTCACGTGTTCTTACTCCTGTTTCACAGCTACCATGTCACAGCATTAAATCTGTTATCCCAGAGGTGCTACCACTGTCACTGCTGGGCTCAGCCTTGGCCAGCAGTGGATCCATCTTGGTGCCAGTTGCAGCTGGCTCTGTGGGACATGGGAGAAACCTCTGTCAGCTTCTCACAGCAGTCATCCCTGCTCCCACTACCAAAACCTTGCCATACAAACTCAATGCAAGCATACAGAAAAGGGCTTTAAAAACATGAGTTAAACTTGTGAATAACCAGGAAAAGCAGAAGAGCATTATGGTGTTTATCTCTTTCTACCTGAGGCTGAGCCTATGAGTAAATTTAATATAATATAATAATATAATAAATCCAAAGCACAGGTAACCCCTTTTTGTGTATGAAATTTAAAGAAAACTGATTTCTCTCTACAAAACTAAACCCACCTTTTCAAAGCATCAGCGCACACATTCTGCACAGAGTACATAGAATTAATATGGCAATTCTTCTACCTTGCTCATCAGCGTCTCTACTCCTTTCTTTACGTTGAACTGTCAAAAAAAGGCAGAAAAAAGGGTCAACAAATTAAATCACTACATATATATTTTAATTATATAATATACAAAATGTATGTATTTAATTATAATTTATAATTAGAGACATTTTTTCTGCTATTAACAGGACTGTTTGATTCCTTTAAGCAAATGCTTTTATTGTTATAGCCACAGCCTCCTCCCCCTTTCTTTTGACAACAACCAGAAAACCCCACAACCACCCTTCATTTTCTTTTGACAAATTCTTATTGTTTTGCTACAGACTTCATAGATAATTTCTGCCCACTTCAGGGATCCCACCTGAAATCCCAGATGACAGTATGGAATTTAAGTTCTCCTTCCTCAAGCTGTGGTAGGCAGCATGACTTTGGAAAGCCTTGGGCTCCCTATTCTCCCCTTGCATATCTGAACTAAAAATTGAAAGAGATTAAATAAATGAAACTATATTTTCCATTCCCACAATAAAGTGATCTACTGAATAGAAGAATAAATTTCAAGAAGTACTTCAGGGGGAAAAAGATACATAAGAGATACTGTGGTTAAGACAGCGTCTGCTTAGCATTGTGGAGCTATAGCAGTGAGATCAGGAACAAAATACTATTGTTAAGCAATGACTTGTTGGCTAAAACCCTGCCACTGATGAACCCCCAGCACCTGACATTGTCATACTGTCTCCAGCCCTCTGCCCTTGCCTCTGCCACATATTAGGTTCAAGAAGCACAAGTCCCCTCTTAGTCTGGAAGTTGCTGGCTGCTCATTCAGACATCTCTTGGAACCTTGCCTTTTCCATGGGGCTTGTCAATTGCCATCAGCCAGTCGTGGGAGCAGACTCTGCTCACAGTTAACTCTGCTGCTAATCACACAGCAGTATTCATGATGATGACCTTGCTAAAGTAATTAATGTTCAAAATAAAGCACTTGCAAGCATCCCACAGGACTCCTCACTAAATCATCTTCAAATTCTTTGCAGACATCTCTTGTGTCCTTTTTGTTCGTATCTCTGTACACACAAACCCAGTTATTTATCTGCTGAGATCATTCTGTCAAGAGTTGCTCATCTTCCTGTCTGTTTTTTATTCCAAACAAACACAAAGTTACCTTCCCTCTCCCTCAAAAAATAGAATGAAAAACAACGGAATTAATAAACCACTATGTCCTAACAAAAGTTATAAAAGTTGCATTTTTATTTTCAGAAGATAAAATGCTGTGACTGTTAATTTGCTGTTCTGAAGTAATTACTAAGATGGTAATTTTTTCAATACTTCAGACAGGATAAAAAATAGCTCATTTAAATTACGGCAAATAGACCTTACAGTAGAATGAAAAATATGAAAGAGGAGACTTTGAAGAGAATCATCTTTAGATTTAAAGTAGGATTAATAATATGTCATTGGCTGGCTGAAACTACCCGAATAACTAATGGCAATTAGCAAGCAATCTTTCAGTACTATTCATCAATAGCAACACAATTTTGTGAAGTCCCTGTGCTCCTTTTGTCTGATACAGAATAACCTCAGTGTTCACAAAAGGATATAAAATTAAAAGTTTGATCAAATTCCCCTAAAAGACTATAATAATGATTCAGTAGGAACTAGATTGGATAACCTTGGTGCAGGAAGCCCTTGAGCAGATGCAGGGCTACTATATTACCTGCTACAACTATTGCCTGGGAGATTAATTGGTGCTGAGCACAATTAATACCTAACAGAGATGACCTATATGTAAAGAAACATTGAAGAGTGCAATAGAAACACAGTTAGATACAAGGTTTGGTGAGGAAAAAAAAGCAGTAGATGGAAGAAAGGCATTTCACAAGATACAATTTATTGCTTAGTATTCTTCCCATCAGTTTTGGAAAAACCTGTTCTTTCAATATTTCTATTTTCTAAGAGAGGATATCCCTCAGCATCATTTGAAAAAATATTCCAAAGTAAAGTTTCTTCTGGATATTTCTCCTCTATTCACTGACTATCTCCAGAAATAAAGAATCATTCCCAGATCTTGCTTGTTCCTTCTCCTTGAGCAGAAACTGAAGCCCAGAAATTTTAGCCTGAATATAAGGAGGAACTTCTTTACTGTGTGGGTGACCATGCAGTCGAACAGATTTCTCAAAGAGCCTACCACTGAAAGACTCATAATGCCATCACATTCTTCTGAAGGCAGCAGAAGTATCTTCTGTTCAATTCACTTCTCTGAATACAGTAATCTAACATCCTTGCCTATCCCAACCCAATTCCAGATGCCTCTCTCTTAAGGTGGAAGGCTTCCAGAGGCCCTACATCACAACCTGTGGGTTTCATCTTGAGCAGGAGTGGGCTCACCCTCTGGAAGCTGCTGTTCCATCATGCTCTGAGCATCTCTTACCCCTCAGCACACCATGGGAGAGATAGAGCATGCAGAAGAAGTTCAATACCAGTATCAGCAATAATGTGGTTTTAAAAAATTGCAGCTCAGTACATATATTTTCCTAACAGAACCAGTCTGCGTTTTATTAAGTTAGGCATCCATTAATAAGAACTGTACCCAGCAGAAGCACGAGTTACATGAAGGAAGCAGATTTAACCCAGAGAGCCTGAATCCTGTGACAGATGGGCTGGCCATGCTTGCGTTCATGGAACTGGCTCTCCTCTCGGAGTCTGCATGACATTCAGCAGCACAAGACATCTGCTGGTGAGCACCACGTAGGCTCTGAGAGAGGAGCCAGCTCCCCACACGCAAGCATGCTCTGTGCTCAGTGGGTCACTAATCCTTAGTCGTGTTCACAGCTCTGCAGGCTGACGCAGAGCCGATATAAAAATACACCAATTTGCCAGACTGAAATCCTCCCACCTCACTCAGGATTCATGAAAGGACATGGGAGAGGAAATGGTTGCATGACATGTAGGCTCTGAGGAACATTCTTGGGCTGTGCTACAGGGAATTGAAAATTAAGATTGTTGGGGTTTTATCATTTAGCGAGGCTTCAGTCATTGAAGTTAACTGTAAGCAACTGAGTTACTGTGGTCTGAGAGCTGACTCACCACCAGAAAGATTTTAACTAACCATCTGCATGCTTCTGACTCATTGCAACTAAGGAATAAATCCTATATATTTTGCAGAGTTTAATATGTTTTGCTTTACCGTGACACCAAGTCAGGAGTGCATACACAGGCCAGGTTAAGGCATTTCAGCTTTCCATCTGTAAACTGATCATCTGTTCAGCTGTTAATACTTTTAGATATTCAGCACAAGCCCATTAGGAAAAGTTTGCAAAACATTTTGGTCCCTAAGCATTTTGTTTCCATTTTGTGCTCTGAAAATCCCTGTTTAAATCAAAGATATCCCCTAAGCCTCATACTCCTAGCTGGAGATCCAAGGAAAGCTGTTCAGTTTGCAGGGAGAGGTTTGAGCTTCTACAGTGCATCCCATTGAATATTTTGCTGGCAAGATTTTGACTGATGTTTGTAAATCCTCACTAGTTTAATTAGTTTGAGTCAAACCTAGATTTCTTTGGTTCAGTGGATGTTCTTGAGTAAGAAGCAGAATCCTAGTGAACTGTGGAATGATATAGCACAGGTCCCTCTAGAAATAGATTAAATTCCATAACTAGAGTAGGGTTGCATGATATGTTTTTCAAGTGGCCAGATTCAGGGGTTGTTTTTGTTAAAGCTTTCTGGTAGAAAACACCTCAGCTACACAGAAGCATACTACAGATTTAGATTTTTGCATTTCACATTACTAAGCTTTCAAGGTTAAACTTTAGTTTTGTTTCCAGAACAGTTCTTTAACTTCATTCATCCTACAAAAATGTTCAGCACTAAAATCAAAGCCAAAACACTGAGAAATATTTTATTTTGAGGTAAAAGAACGTTTTCCTCCTAAGATAAATATTCATTCAGACACAAAAAAGAGAACGTATTGGCTCCTCAGACAAAATGTTCAGCCTTAGGCTACTGTGTCATTTTGTTCCATTATATCTGCAGCAAAGCTTAAACAGACCAGTGATAAAAACACACATTTTATTTTGTTTATGACCAAGACAAAGTATTTGTCTGCAGAAATGAATAAAAATTCTTGCCTAATGCAGTTGAAGATGTATTTCATAGTTCTAGGTTGCTTGAATATGATTGATTTTCCTGTTTTATCCTTATCTTTTTTAATAAAAAAGTAATGTGGACATATATCAGCATAATTCATGCCTAGCCATTCTCAAGGCTCTAAAGAGCTTTATAATGTTTCCCTTTAAGTCAGGGTATACTTTACCAGATCAGCCATTTGATGTTTTTATGTTTAGCTTCAGGATTCCTTTGCCCAGTAAATCTCTTGATGCTAATACCTATTTGATACACTTGTGTCACTTTGGCAGGTGTCTAATTCTACTTATAGACACCAAAACCAAAGAATGATTCTCAAACTTTCCAATGCAGGAAAAATATGAAATGCAAAAATCAGAGTAAGAGGAACTTAGGTAGTAAATAATAAAATTACATATAAAATGAACAATCTATCTTTGATGAGTTTTTTAATGTATAGCTGTTGGTTGGTGATTTTTCCCCTGTCTCAAGGAAAAGCCTAGCTTTTGGAGATACTCAAGACATGATATGGGGCACAAGAAATGCATGTTTTGTGGGAAGAATGACCAGAGACCATGCATTGTAGGGCATTAGATCAGCATTACCTACTAGTCAGCAGAGGACAGTCACAGTCCTGGGCTCCCATTGTGCAAGGGATCTGGACAACAGATTACAAACTACTGCCTGCCCTGAAAATGCAGGACACCTCATTAGCTGGCTAGGATTCACTCCATACCTGAACCGCTGGCTTCCCTCATGGGTTTCCCAAAAAGAGAGCTCATTGGGAGCATCTAAGCACATTGGAGTCCACTGTAACAGATCTTAGAGCAGAAGCAGCCCAGCTCATCCACAAAAGGCATGCACATTTTGTCTCCTGGTACTCTATGTAAAAATCTATGTAAAACATGCTCATCAAGTGACATGATGAACAAGCATGAATGTTTCATGTTGATTCATTATGAAGAATACTTCCCTTAATTCAAACATGATTAGCTGGCAGTTCACAACTGCAGAGAGGATTTGCAAAGGTCTCTTTTCCTCAGTGGTAACACAGTAGAAGGCAATTTTGAAACTTCTGAGCTGAAGGCAAAGCTCAAATAAGGAACAGGTTGACAACCACAACACTGTCATAAGAAATGGCCAGCAGGTATATCATGAGATCTGGTTTTATTTTGCTTTTTTGCATTTTTAGTTTTAGGATTTCTGTGCTTTGTGCTTCTTCTGAAAGGTGGAGGCTATCTTTAGAGACGATGAAGATAAAAGATTTCCTTAAGCACAGGCTGTCACATAAAGTTTTATGACAAAGACCAGATATTATGGGATTAAATATAAAAT